CTATTTGCTACTTAGTAGTAATGCACTTGTTACCAGTAGCGATGCACCTGTTATACTCGTCTTTTCTTTGGGCTCGGCGCCTGAGGAGATGAACTCGGTGACCTTTGGAGACGTGTGGCCTCTGGGCGTCACCGACTGTCCGCTCACCAACGGGGGCACCGAAGCAAAGCTGGAGACCTTTGACTCGCCACTAAGTCACTAAGGTCGGTGGGTATGGAGAAAAACCAACCCCCAGACCAGGTTGACATTCCCTTTTCCCGGTGCTCACAGACCCCACCGAACTACACCGGTGCCTTTTTCTCGTTAGCGAGCGCCGGCGCGTCGCCACGGTCTGAGGTATTGTTCGGGTCAGAGCAATATGGCGCTGCCTTTGATTCACACCATGTCTCGAAACATCAGCGTTGATGCGATCAAAGCAGGGAAGTGACACAGCTTATATAGCTGGCAGGCTTTCCGTATTTTACCACTGAAGCGCCTACTGTAGTACCTTTGGACGAAAAGAACGGCTTGCAGTCATTTTCCGCATCATGTGACTTCAGGTACGCCAACATTCGAATCCACGGAATGAGTGGCAACATGAACCCTACTCAACCATGGCAGAAAGTTTCAGATGCCATTCAGAGCCCTGGAAGTTGCGAGAAAGGTGACTGCGCCTTCTTCAAGCTCTTCGGCAGGGAGATGGCAGGGATGCAGGGATGCCAAACCCATTGGGCAGGGAGCTATCGGATTGCTTCAAGAGACGCAGCTTCTTCCTGACGGAGGTCGGAAGGTCGGTTTGGGCGATGGGACCCATCGCCTCCCGGCCTCCGGGAGGTGGATGACTCATCTGGCAGGATTGGACCAGGACAGAACAGACGAAGTATCTGTAGATTCTGTAGATTCACTGTAGTCTACACCCATGAGATGGCACCCCTACACACGTGCGTGAACGTGTCCGACACATGTCCTGTGAATCTTCCATGGATTTTCCGCATTTATGCAGGATCGTCACCTCAAGAGGGTGGGGAAAAGGGACGTCTCCTGGCGCCGCCAGGCCTCGGTTCGTCAGAGAAGTTGATGTTCAGCGGCAAAATGATGTAGATCGTCGTGTCCCTTCGATTGACGAAAACGATCTTTAGAAGTTCTGGATTCAGATTCGGCAACCTGTTTTTTTGCATCTCACCAGCCTACTTCGGATCCCTTTTGTGTGTTAGAGGGCCCAAACTCCTTCTCCCAGACCTCGAGATCAAGGATGCAGAACGTGCACTGAAAGCAAACCCCCGGGTGCGGACTCTCCCTCCACGTACATTCCTGGCGGCCACGTACATCGCTGGGAGCTTGACCCTAGGCTTCCAACCACCATGAATTTAACAGGCTTTACCGAATCAACTAAGGATATTACACTACAAACACCAGGGCAACCATTTTTAAAATGGTCTCGGAAGTCTAGGGTTGAGGTACTCTTCAACATGCTGGTACTTTGCGGAGAGCCTCTCTGATCGGCTGAACGATGACACACCCATTGGCCTGATCCACACTGCCTGGGGTGGAAGTCGCTTGCGAAGAACATTCTCTCGCCGATGCGCGCTGTTCTTGCGTTTGAAATGGACACGAAGCCTTTCTTTTACAAGTTAGGCGTCAGTCGAGAGTTTGGGGGAAGGGCAGCAGAGAGACTTGCTTTGAGTACCATTCATGCAGGGGCATCAGATTCTGACTGACAAATCCACTACTGGCATTTCGATGTACTTTGAATGCTGTAGATGCGGTCTCTGTGGGAAACGTGAGGCATGATTGAGGCTTGGCTGGACAACAAGACCATTGCCACCTGCAAGAATGCAACCTGTCAGAGCTTCCACAGATTCTCTGGTTTTTTTTAGGGTTAAAGTTTTTCCCATTCTCAATCCACTGCTTGGTCATGCCACTGGCTGGGGCGCTCCCTTCGGTTTCTTTGCCCGGGCCCTGTCCCTTCCAAAGCGCTGCGCTCGGGTGTTCCCCAGGCCTCGATCAGCGCGGGGAACCAGAAGTACCACGATGAGCGAGTGATGCCCTATTCGAACATGACTCTGAAGGGCTGGATTTGGTACCAAGGCGAAAACGACATGCACGGATTCTTGTCAAAAGGAAGGTCATCACGGCACACACACACATATATATATATAAGCTGGTTGATGTCCATTCACAGGGACATCATAGGTTGTTGACACCCCTAGCTTTGGTTTTGCTCTCCTATTGAGTTGGGTTTCGGGGGATCCCCGCAGTCGTATTTGGATGTGTCGTTTTTAGGATTCAGAAGCTATCTCTCTTGGTTCCCGGGGTTCAGCGTGTCCCAATAAACCCCAGCACGTGGCTTAGGTGTGCATGGCAATTCGGCTCTGAACTATGGCTATGGATGTTTGGCGCAGCGACTGGTGGACAGTTGGCGACAGATCTGGAGCACCGAAGCAGCTGCTGGGCAAAACTTGGTGGGATGGGTAGCTCGGTGGTGGATGAACTTGGCGCCAAAGTTTGAAGGTGGATCCCATGTTTTAGCAGATTTTTTCATAGGGAGATCCCCAGCCAATGGGTTTTGGTCTAAAGTTGATGTTCCGGTGTTTACGGTCTCCCAAGCGCCCGGTCGAAGTGCTGGTCATTTCTGTGAGGCAAATCGATTGTGGATATCTTCGGTGGACATCAGTGGACATCTTCCAGGTATTTCCAGTCCAGCTGCGTTTCACTGAACATTTTGCCACCATTTCACACACAGACATCGAGAATGGATGAGAATGATGGGGCAAGTCCATTTATATAGGGTTTTTCATGGATCCCTGGTTCCAGTGCAACTGAGATGGATTACTTATGGCCCCTACAGGTCCCGCCCTGGTGGCATCCACCGGTCCTGCTTTTCGGATCGATTCGACCGACTCGGTGGATGTGAAAGAAAGAAAGAACCCCAAATTGAGGGGCTGATAGGGGCTGTTGCTTTTGCTGTGGTTGCTAAATCTACTTGCTCTCCGAACTTTTTGCGACAAGTCGAAAAGTCGCGAAAAGTCGAAAAGTGCACGAAAAGGCAACGATGATAAAAAGAGTCACCCACCAAAAGGTCCCGGGGCTTGCCGGGTCCTTTTGGCGGGCGTCTCTTTTTTGAAGGCGTTCCTGCTCGAGGCTGACTCACTTTGACACGGCTGGAGATGTAACGTTTGGATCAATTCTGCTCGACTTGTTGAAGGGCACGGCATGTGACTGGTGTCCAAAAATCTCGAAAGGTCGAAAAGTCTCGAAGTTTCCTTTACCTTTTTCACTTTTTGCCTTTTCTCACTTTTTGACTTTGATTTTTCTAACTTTTTGACTTTTTGCGTTTTGCTTGGTGTCTTGCAAATAGATCGTTGTGAAAGGATTTAGCGAGCTTAGGCTCCTGTTTCCGCTTAGCAAATCATAGACTTCCCCTCAGGCCACGCTCTGGATGTTTCGAAGCCTTGAAGAAAGCCGAGATACATGAAAAAACACATGGCTGCCTTTGGCCTGCTTTACCGTTGTATTTTGGGACTGAACATGCAGAGGATTTGTCAAAAAAGACCGACCGCAAACACCCTGACAGCGTCCGTTCTAAGGAGACGACGAATCCAATGGCCCCGTTTGGTTTTGTGGCTGTGCTGCAAAAGGGGCAGAGGAGGTTTTCCATGGCGTTTCGAAGGTTTTCTTCACCGAATTCCCCATGGATATCCCAAGCGGTACTGGACGCATCTACCTTCCACTCAGGTCTTTTTGAGGGGCTCCAGGTCCCATTCCTTTGGGGCAGATTGGCCGGATCTTCGAAGGTAGGAAGACTGGAAGACTGCTGGATTTAGACCCAAGCTACAGATCATAAGATCTATGCATAGATTGTTGGTTTGATGACTCCCAGACTTTCCGGTTATATATTGGGTTGTCTCATTGATGGTGTCTCAGGCCAGGCTAGCAGTCAGATGGTCAGATGGTCAGAGGTAGATGTTGAACATGGCATGGCGACGCGGACGGCGGCAAAGACATGAAGCCTGAACCTCTGAACAGCTGCAGGGACCGCCCAAATGGATCGAATAGTGAATTCCTTCAAGCATAAAGTGGACATCAACTCCCGGACTTGATCTGACTTTTTAGTATATATTCTGACACCACCTTGCTATGGCTGACATTCTGATGTGGATGGACTCATCCATGTGCAGCGATTTGGTGCGTTCTTTCCATAGGTCGAAGCAGCAAGACCACCGGGACGGCAAGCATCATGTTTCAGTGTCAGACCATCGTGTTTTCAAGCAGTTGCTTTCGTGGGTCGCAACTTGACCTAGCAGACCGGTCTGCCCGCTAGGTCCGCTAGGTCCGGCCAGAAGTTAGCGCCAGAAAGGTGACACAATGACACCCTCAATCAATGAGAGCATGTCATTTATACAATCTGCTATTCTTCCATACGGTGGTTTGATGTACTTGTCATTGCAGCCTCCATGTTTCGGACGTGCCTGGGCTGCCCACACCTTCGCCTGCGCCACGTGCCGGTGCTGAGGTGACGCTGGCGCCCTCGGGTGGTGAAGGCGGCAACAGCATGGGTGCCATGCGTTGGGCGCAGACCGCGAACTACGGCGTGGCGCCCAATCCGGCCATGCCCAAGACGCGGCTTGGTGGGTGGGTCGTGGGAGTGTTGTCCCAACGCTGCGTGCCCAGAAGGGACGGTGGATGGTGTGGATGTGCGGGCTAGAGTCGAAGATCTGGATTCTGGAGCATGTTCAGTCCATGTCTGGAAATGGACTGGACTTGAAAGAGATAAAGATCAAGTGGTAACGCGCCCAGAGTCAAGGGGAGTCAAGTTCTTCTGAGTCACTTGGGTGACGTTGGGGTGTTCACCATGTGCATGTGAGCACTGCTCACCACAGCCTCATTCCATGTTATTCTTCCCTGGTTAGAGTCTATAGAGTTCTGCATCTTTACTACGCGCGCGCAAATGGTTATTCCTAAAAAGGTTAAGAAGCATTTGGTCTTGGCACGCTTAAGTACTACCGGCTACCGATGGCTACCGGCTAGCTTCTGGAAAACGTCGATTGGTCTGCTGGGATTGTCGAGTTGCAACATTCTAGCCATTTACAACTGGTGCGCCTTGAGATAGCGATGATGATACCCTTGACACTCGCAGAGATGATCGGATCACTAAGGTTCATGGCACAGGCTTTCGTGCCTCAGTTGCAGTCAGTAGGGCTTCCAGCCCAAACACATGGGGGATGGTAGTGTGTTTGACCTAGTTCTAATGGCTTTGGGGCGTCTTTATCCAAGCAGTGGCCAAAGGAAACACGCAGATCATCACCTATGCTATTCCCGATTTTTTGGGGCAAACAAAGAGACCATCCAAATCCAAGTCATTTGCGACTGACCCATTCGGGGGGATGAATTGGACCGTCCACCCAGGATTTGGACGATCCCTTCAGCAACATCACCTGCTATCGCGCCGGCTGCTGTGGGACGGCCACTCCAAAGCCTCAGTGTCACAGCTGCTTTGGGCCCAATGGCTACTGCGCCAATCTCAGCGCCACTCAGCTGATGTTCTTTGCACCAATGACGGAGAGAAGATCATGGCAGCCGCCTCAGAGTTGAAGCAGCAAGCAAACATGCTGCGATACGTTTGGATCTGTGTTGAGCAAGCGGCTAACGGCTAGCCAGTGTTGTCGTTCCAGGCCACTTACTA